GAGACCATCAGAGTTGGTCGAGAGAGAGATAGACTGAATGACTGGGAGAGAAGGCGAGAGATCGATATTTGAAACCCCTGTGCAGTTTTGCTCACACACATACATACACAAACCGAGCTCTCTCTCCTCTCGCCACCACCCTGCACGCCCAATGGCGTAGGAAGAGGGAAAGGGGGGCAATTGGGGGCTAGGTGCTCCCCTGTTCCCAGGATACTCGACAAAACGGAAGTTCGGGACAAAGAGAGGAGGAGTGTTATAAATTGCCCGAGACGGGATTCGGGATTTACGCGGCATCCCTCTCTCTCTTTTGCCCTCTCTCGTCCCTCCCCCTCCCACCACCCTGTCTGGCTGTCTTTTTATCGTCGCCAACTTTGATCGAAGCCCCGGGAATATATTTCATCGGATGGTTTTCATTTCGCTACGGTCTTTCGATTTCGAATTAACCGACGGAGAATTTCGTTTATCCTGGTGGGGGTAGGGGATGAAAGAGCTCGCCATGCTGTGGAGTAGCGCTGGAAGGTCTTTTTTTAAGGTCGTTGGCTTTTTGGAATCGTGATGAGCAGCTATTACGACACTGGGATCACAGAGAACGGTATGGAATCGAATGTGCGTTTATAGTTTCTTCGGGCGTTCCCTAGGGAATTCTGGTTAGTATTTTCTGTTCGGTGGTAGCGATGAGAACCATGTTTTGGGGTAATACACGAAGGGTGGGGAACTTGGTGCTTGTAATAAGAATTTTTGCTGTTTTTCATGAATGTAATTCCCTACTCTGATTGAACTGTTTAATAATAGTTCCCAGTCTGTTTATCGTGTAATTTATTGAACCTATTAAACAACAACCGGTACACAATCTATCAATATGGACTGTATATTTACTCCATAAAAGTTTCGAATATCCTAGATATTTTATCAGTGAATCGAACTTCCATCGAATTCGTCGTGTCGACGTCCGACATTTTGGAGTCTGGTCGACTCCGCTGACTTTAAACACACGCGGGTCTACGCCCTTGCGTCCGTCTGTCCTCGCATGCATGCTATTTACCATTAGATCATCATCCCCTCATTTTTTTTCTGCCCTTTCCCGCGCACCCCCCTTTCGTTCCGACCCCACCCTCTGCCAAGGGGCAGCTTTTTTCTCAGCGCCTTTTTTATCATCCGCGCCGTGTCTTGTATACGGTCGTAATACAAACGTAACGGGTGGCGCCGAGCGAACCAATTATATTTCTCCCGCGATGATCGATTCGCGCTCTCATAATTCCAAAGGGGCAGGGGAGTGGGGGGTGGGGAGCAGAGTCATTAGCGGGCCGTGTCCGTCGCGTGGCGTTCGTTAATTCGTTGCATCGGTAATAACGTGGACTGGACGTTAGCCGTGGGCTTCTGCGTATACACCGTTGGTATCGATCGATACTTTTTCTCGTTTCCCGTCGATTACGTGTGATAAGATATACCCTATGTTTTTCCATCGAGAGAAATAATTTGAAGTATTATTGCAAACTGACATTCCGTTTAATCTTTGTGCGCTGTTCAATGAACTGTATTTAACATTAGTTCTTGGATTAAAATCGGGCTTGAGCTGAAATCGAATATGTCTGTTTATTGTTGGAGTGTTATTTTATTAGACATTTATTTAGGGAAAGGACCTTTTGTTACGTAAAGGTATGAAAGTGAATTGTAGGATGTAAGCGCAGTAAATGATATATTCTTTTATCCGATTATATTCGTTTATCGCCAGTAACCACCGAACATCAGTCTTCACGACCACGATCAGAGGTTTCACAGAATGGTAATTATCGAAAAAGATTACAACAAATCCCGATTTCGTTCGTTCCCCTTTTTGATCCCCGTGGTTCCACACACATCGTCCGATTAACCAGTGGGGCCACGTGGGTCCCATTTATGCAGCACGTGTCCTCTCAAGAATTCCGCCTTCTAGGGGCCCAGCGTCACAATATATTCCACGATGAATGCACATCCTCCAGGTAGCCTGGGGAGCAGATATTCCTCCCGAAAAGGGCCCTCGCCACGATCACGAGCCCTCTAATATTTCATATCCACAACAGACACCCAAAAAAGGAAAAAAAGGTGAGGGGAGAGAACGGGAATCGTAAGGGGGAACAGAAGGATAAAGAGAAAAAAGTAGGAGGACAGGCGACGAAAGTGAGAAAGTCAAAACGATTACTCGCCGTGGATGCCGAACAATAGCGGATTTTCGAACATAGCTCGGGCTTAACTTTCCGGAAAATTTCCCTGAATATCCGCCCTGCGCGCGCGCGCACATCAAAAGGGGACGAATGTGGTAAAGGGCGCAGGGAAAATTTGGCCGCATTCGCACGGTCGAAAAGCTCTTTCTACAAGGAGGGAGGGTGAAGAGGGTAGAAGGGAGGTCAACCCCTGGGACGCGCGAGGTTACCATTTTCAACGTGGCGCCTGCGTCCTCGTGCTGCCTGCCAACCAACCCTCTCTGTCTCCTCCACTCATTTCCCCCTTTTCGAGCCCTCCACCCCCGCGTGCGTGTGTGTGTCTTTCTCTCTTCGCGGAACCTGAACTTCCTCACCCCCTAGTTTCGCCGTGCAACGGTTCTGCGCACGCGTCCACTCCCCCGCGTCTGGCCATTTTTTTCTTCCTCCTCCCCCTCGATTTCAAACCCTCCTACCCCCTTTCGGCTCGCTAACGCGACACACCGAGAGAGAGACTAGAACCACCGATGGAGAGTATTCGAATATATATGTATATACATAAATATATATATATATATATATATATGTGTGTTTGTGTGTGTATATATATCTTTATATATATATTTTTTTTTTACGTTGAATTTATCGTTCCACGGTTTAACGAGGTCCCGTACTACGCCGACCGCGTTTTTACACCTCCGTCGACGAGATTCATACGGTAACCAGCCACCCCCTGCCTCCCATTAAATTTTTTACAACAAAGTTCTTTCAGATTCGTGAGGTTGTACGTTCGGTCCCGTAGATGGTGGTGGCATAAGACACCTCTCTCTATCTCGTTAGGGGTTGTTTTTCGCAGGATTTAACCTTCTGCTCGTGTAATACCACCTGTACACCGCACCGCCCCCTTTATGCCGGTGGATTTCGTATAATATAGGTATACACTTTTCTTTCGCGGTCCCCTTCGTCGTGGTTTCGCCACCGAGCGTCCCTTCTTCGGGTCGGTATCGGTGGCTAGGTCCAAAGGGTCTATCCCGAAGAAAGCCGCCATTGTTTACGACCCTTCGCCTGGCGCGTGCGTGATTCAGAATCCACCCTCGATCCACTATATATATATACACGCAATATATTCCGTCTCCTATGGCTCCCTTGACGGGGCCGTCAGTGGTGTCCTGGGATTCTGGAGGAGCAGAATCCTTCTTCAACGCTTTACAGCGACGCATGCGTACTAGGGGTTGGGGGTAGGCAAAAGACTTTTCTCAAAAATTCTCCCATCGTATTTCCATCTATTTTATCCCCTCTCTGTATATAATTATCGATTTAGCTCGGCGTAATCTGTCCCAAAGGTTGAACAGAATTATCGTTGGTCACAGGGATGTTTCATCATCCCCACGAGCGAACGGCGTCACGATCCTCGAGTTACGTGGTCTGCGCCTGCGTGAGCAGTCGCAGATTTTTCTCCGGTGTTCATCCCTCTGTCCCTGCTCGGTTCCAACCACCCCTCCCGATTCCCTTGTACACGACCCAGCGAGAGAACGGTCAACCCTGGCCCCGATGGCATCCCGGAAGATGCAGTCATTGCCTTCGGCTCTCTCCGATTCGTCGACGCCTGCGTACGACTTCTCTTTCGACGTCACACATCTACCCTCTCTGTTTCTCTCTCTATCTTTCCGTTCAGCCATGTTCGTCTGGCCACCCCTACCGACCGACGGTGTATATACGTCGGATCGTCCGACGATGACGGATCCAGGGAATAGAGAAAGATAGAGGGATAGCGAGGGTGCAGTCATTGCCTCCTTTTGGCGCCTGCGTATACACACATTCCACCACTGTCTCTCCGTCTGTCTCTCTCTCTTTCGCGTTTCAACGTTTCATCTCGCTTCTTTCCACACGGGTTTGCTGTGTAGCCCACCTCCGTCGTGGTTCCCACCCCTCCTCTTGCCTAGGCGCGAGCACCTAGCATCGTGTCAGGGGGTGGCGTACAGAAGGGTGCAGCGATTGGCGGCCAGGCCTGGCTCCGTCAGTTTAGTTACCGCACCACATAAAGGCATTGCGTTGTAGACACCGTTATACCCGTCAACATTCTTACTATTTGCTTGTATACATCTCTCTATTCATTTCTGACCCTTTAAATTCGACTGATACAAAAACAAAACTACGTTCGTCTCGTTGGTAACATATATGTAGCAAAAAAAAGAAAGAAAGAAAGAACACGTCGTCCTCACCGAGATCTCCGTATTACCGATCATATTCTTGCTTTCACCCCGCCCACGTGTCAGCGAGATAAAACGAAAAATATATATATGTATATATATATATATAAACAGAGTTTTAAAAAATCGATTAACCCGTGTTTTGTGTGTGTGCGTCGACGCTCGTTTTAAAGCCTCGCGATTAAAAAACCACGGGAACAGTGAGGAGAGAGATCCCGGGGACACGAGAACGGAACGGACTGAGATAGAGGGAATAGAGAAGTCGAATCGATCGTCGGTCCTCGACAGGGAAGAGAGAAACACGCTACCACTGGGCAACCGGACAGAATCGGGATCGTGTGGTTAATTTCTTGTGCTATTCCACGTGCGTCGTCGTCCTGTTCGGGGGGATCATATATGATTTCGTTCGTATCCGTGGACCGTCACCCTTCTTCGATCCTGTTCTTCTCTCTCCTTTCGCCGTCCGGTCGGTTTAAACGAAACGCGAATCTCCAAGATTTCGTCGGAACGTAACTTGAAATAATATAATCGTCATAACACGGGGGTGGTAAAAAGAGAAAAGTCCTTCGGTGCGCGAACACGACGTTTTGTATATAGTGAGGAAAATCGAAAATATAAAAGCAGAACGAAACGGCACAACGAGTCGTCGTCTGGAAGATCCTTTAATCGTGAGAAGAGGAACGAAACGAGAGGAATAGAAAGAGAGAGGGAGAGCTTAGTGTGTCGCCCGTTGGGAGTGAAAGAGAGAGACAGTAAACAGGGTGTGTTCTGCGATTTCGTCGTTCTTTTTCGAGCCTACCCTACCCCCGTTTCGTCGGGACGGCGTTCAAGGAAACCGAAAGTGTTCTGCGTTGGAAAAACCACGGTGAAAATTCCTCGATCGTGCGCGGGAAGAGCACTCGAATCGTGTTCTCGTATAACCGTCGATCGGTGAAAAAAATATATATATATAGTGACTTCCCCGATTCGTTTACGTTAATGCTCGCGGTGATTCGAAGGATCTTGTTGCGTATAAATCGACGTGGAAAAGAACAGAACGAAACCGTTAGTAAAAGATTCGAGGAAAAGGGAAAAAGACGCGCGTGTCCGGCCGCTCGCGCGAACAACACACGTGGGTTCGATTTTAAACGGGATACTTAAAATTAAAATCGACTACCGGAAATAATAAGGATAAACCCGAGATTCTAGGCGACGTAGATAAAGTTAAAGGAATAAACAAAACGAGATAATCTTGTAATTTAAAATAGTAACGAAAAAGAGAAAAGATACACACAGAATAATAATATTCTAGTAAACGTTAAACCGACCAGTCGAATTTCGTTCTACGCCCAGATTACGGCATCCTCCAACCACTGATTTATCATCGTTAACCGGTATGTTCATTTGTTTCTTTACTTTTGTTGCTTCTGTGAATTTTCTGACGTTCGAATTTTAATTATTATCGTTCCTTGTTCTTCTACATTGTTATATTAATTGTTGTTATTGATTATACCGTTTATGATTGCAACGTATGTTTATTATATCAATCTCTGTGTAAATCATCGATCTATGTGTTTTTTGGTGAACACGCGGCTGTCCTGGGCGACGATCATTTATTTTTAATGATACGTTCGCCGTTTCCCTCCCCGGGGGGTATCCTCGATAATGGACCGATCGAAGGATCCTTCCGGCAGCCGCCATCATACAATCCCTTCGAACCCTGTCTCGTGTCCGTGAGATCTCCTGGCCATGAAAATCTTGCTTTACACTTTCGATCATTTGTCATAGTTTAAACGTGGAAGTTTCAATTTCTATAATAAAATAATATTTCTTTTCGAATGAGTAGACACTTGGCAAACAATTATTTAATCCCATTAACTGTTCAAAGGCCAGGGATGATGATCTTACTGCAACCTTTTACTACTATTCACACATCTATACTGCTGCCTTTTCATTATGTATTATTCGAATAAAATTGTGTAGAACTCTGCCTTCGAATAATCGTACAGAATTTCGCCACGTTAATTCTACGCTCGTAGAATCAGCGAAAGAATCGGAAAAACGCCGGTTTATCGACGTTCTGGAAATATATACACGTACGTATATGTATATCAGCTTGTGCTGGCAGAGCCCCGGTGGTGCTTTCTACCGCGCAGTATCCGGCGGCCCTGGAGAAGTTTGGGCGTGGCAGCCGAAAGCAAAACGTGTGTGGCCACGAGATCTCGCGGTCGTGTTTTTCCTCTCTCCCTCTCACACCTTTCCTCTTTCAGTTTCTCGTTATCCTTCCGGCGTTCTAGAGCAACCAACCCTGAATGAAATTAACCGCAAAAATGAACAGAGAAAGAAACCGAGAAAAGACAGAAAAAATGAAATGAAAAAAAAAGTATCGTCTCGAGGACGATGGTCGAATGCTAAATAAGTTCGGTAAGAAGATGATGATGATGGATAGCGACGATAGTGTGCATGAAGGATCAAGCAGATCCAGGATGGAGCAACTGGCACTGCGGGTCCTCGTCGAGGACAAGCAGGAAGTCTCGAGAGGGACGCTTCCGTCACCGATCACAATGGTGCGTGATAGGGATAAAGGGGTGTTAGATAGATGCCAATTGAAAAACTCTGTATCGACAGACTCGACCTGGCTTTAAGTATCGCTTCCTTTCGTTTTGTTTCACACCCCTGTGTAACGATCTCCTTTTTTTCCGGTCTTCTTGGGCCTTCGGTAACACAGGCACACACACATAGAATTTGGATCGTCGCCTGGACCATTACTATAACTTGTCACGTGTAAACAGTTTCCACCTTATGATAGACAATATATGTTGTTTATATACTAAGTTAGTTAACGCAATCAATACATATATCGTCTATCATACGATGGAAATTGTTTCCACACAAATTCCAACAGTGGTCCAACCTAGACGACCATCCAAATTCGGCAACCTTCCCCTACACCATACGTGTATTCCCCTGTGGCGAACCCTCTTGTCTTCTCTCTGATCACGACGAGAAACAGTTGTCGATTAAAATACCGTACTGATAACTAAAATACTCCTTTGCAATCCTTGTGCCTAGCCGTTTCCCCCATAAAGATTCTACAAGAAGAAAAAGAACCAATAGGGGGATGGTTTATTTGGAGGATTACAAGAAAAGAAGCTAGAGAGACTTTGGGACCAGGCTGCTCGCGTTTTATCCTCGGCCTTTCCTGCGAGAATTTCCCGGTCTGGCCGCTGGAAATATCAAAGATTGACCGAGGGTTGCTCGCCCGGTAGGAGGATGATGATAGGCGGCTGTGTGGGGGAGAAAGAGAGACAGAGTGAGTGGTGTACGATGAAGTGGGAGAGAGACCAGGTCTAGCTAGTTTGTGTGGGGAGGCTCGTATTGATCGTTCCTGGGTCCATGTGACGCGCGCCTGCGTTTCGCCCGTGGGGGTAAAATCGTAGCTAGGGTAAACCACGGGGGTACTGGAGTATAGTGGTGGACAGAAAGAGACGGAGAGAAAGACTGGCGAGGGAGGGAGGGAGAGAGGGCTACTACCCGGGGTTCATATACCCCCGGGGCAACTGCAACGTTCCACCGTGTGTGCTACCGACCAATCAATGGAGCTTCTCTACCTTTCTCTGCCTCCCTCTCTTCCCTCTTCAACTCTATTTCTCTCTGCTACATCCGTCATTCTTTTTCTCTTGATCTTCCTGCGTTTCGAACGTGTTCTCCTGCTCGTCGATCGGGTAATATGATTGCATCGCGCAACAAACACGCACACGGTCACGCTGCACGTTTCCTCCCCTTCGAGAGGAATGGGGTGGGGTGGAGTATTAACATCCTGTGTGTCTCTCTTTCCCGTTTCATCGATATCGCTGTCCTCGGTCTTTCTTCGCCCGATCCACGGTTACACACCCACACGCGATGCCAATTTATCGGAACTCCGTTCTGGAACTTTGACGTCTAGAAAGAGATGGGTCGGACCCTGTAATCCTTCTAACGAGTTACCGGCTTCGACGGCATAACGAGAGCCTCGGGGAAACGAGCAGGCGATGCTAATCGCCACTCCTCGACCATCAAGCTTCTCCGCAGGCCTGAGTAGCAGCACTGAATAAATGATTTCTGCGACGATTCCAGAAGTCGTGCGCATTTAAACGTTTCGCGAGTGTATAGGAACGTCAACACTGTTCGACAAATTTTAACTTTTTTTTTCTTATGTCGTTGACAGGCGTTTCTGATAGGTCTTTAACGGCTGAATACGAGTCTGCGAACCGGTTTTTTCTAGAATGTCCAGTTTATGGAAAAATTAATTTGAAAGAAGAATGGTAAATTTTTGACTTTGGAGCTGGTGGGTTCGAAACGAATTGTTTCGTGTCGAGAGCAACGGAATGATTGTACGACACACCTCCAAAGTTGAAAATTTATTATTTTTTTTAACAGTTCATCTTGAGTGAGACTTGGGCACGGTGCATTTAACATATGTAATTATTAAAAAGGTACGTGAAACACGTGTTTTTTTTTTACATTTCTTGCATCATAAATAGAATTGGTTTAAATTTATTGTAGCAAAATAAATATATATTATATATTGAATTATTATTATATATTAAAATATATTTTTTTTTACCACAAGTCGTAATTTTATTCGACTATTAATGAGTTAAGATTGATTTCTTCACAAATTGGTCTTGCTGGAAAAAAACGGTTTGCAGATTCATATTCAACTCGTACAGATCGATCAGAAACACCCATTAATGGTTATGAAGTATTTTACGTGTTGAACAGTGTAATTTGTTGCTCCGTCTGTGTGCATGTATACATACAAGGCACGTTTCGGAGTCTTTTCTCATCTAATTCCCTCAATAATTGCCTTGTTTCACGGTTCGAACTTCGAGGCCCGTTTACGAATCCAATAATAGTTATTTTACTCTTCTAATTTTCATTTGCCGACTCGTCGACATCACCCGCGGGGTGACATATGGATAATTCGTCGCTCTAGTTCTTAATTCTTCTATCTCCACTAGTTTTTAACGTAAGAAAACTGAGTTTAAAGGTTTACAAAGTTTAATATTATAGACGCAGTCAAGATAGGAACAGTTACGAATTCGGGCGACGAATTGTCGACGATGGTACACACACACACATATAACGGGATCGTCCGATCGTGGCCATGCATATTCACAGGCGATCATCATCTCTGCTTGGCCGTTTTTCCACGCTGGAACCGTTTGTTTACCTTATGTAATCACTTCTTCGGTGGACTTTCGAGGCTTCGCACGGGGTTTCCCTCGGATAGCTGGGCCGAATTGAATCGCGTTCGCTTGTGGAGAGAGGCGATCGGCACCCCGTGCACGCGCGCGAACGACCGCAAAGGGCACGACCGGATCCATCGATCCACAGCCATTAAGGGGACTCCCTACTGTGACGGGTCAAAAAAATCGATTTTTTCTTTTCTACATTTTCTCAAGGCTTAATATTCAAAACGATAATCCCAAAAGGATTTCGTCTGATTCGAAATAATAAGGAAGTTATTAACCTTTAATCGAAGCGGCATGTAGGTTCAAATCGAAACTTTAAACTCGTTTTTCTCAAAACGACATTTTTGTAAATTGGTGCCACGTTCATACAGAGTAAGAATCTTTCTCAATTTTTGATTTGAGATAACGTAGACAGCTGATATAATGGTAGCCATGGAGACACCTTTTTCTTAGGCAGTCCTAATAAAAGACACAACATTAAGTTTTAATAAAAGACATATACATAATTATATGTGTAGAAATCACCATTATATCACTGATTGACACTTAATGGGTTAATCAGCAGCGATGATTACGGGCGTTCGGTTCGCTTGATCGATTTTCGGGCCCCAAGCAAGTCCGTGGTGTTCCCTCGAGGGAGGAGGGAGGCGCCCCCGTGTTCCACACGACGCTTTAGCGCAGATGCTCGTCGAAATCCTCCCTCTTTCGTTCGTGTTTCCACCGTCAACGTTTCCGACTACCCTTGCCCTTGCCACGCAGTGCACGCCCCGTTCGAAGGTGAAATATTCTTTCTATGAAAATTCGTGGTGCCCTTCTTGTAACTACTCGTTCCTTCAATTGCTCTTTTACTTCACATTAAAAGTTTCTCGAAAATACATCCTTAAGAACCGAGCAACGAGTTCTGTGTTCTTGGATTCAGTCACAGTTCTGAATTAATTTTTTGCTTGATGAAACTAAGGGTCGTGACACGATCTTCGAGTATAATACTGGTCACAGTCTAATACGTTCATTCCCGTATGTTCGAATAGGTATAACCGACGCGTACGATAATTTCTACAATTGCTCCTGTCTTTATAAATTACTCTAGAAACTGTTATTTTGCATAAAAATCCGCAGTCTAGTGATTACTGTATTGGTAAAAATTCAACTGCAGGTAA